CTCGGTCTCCCAAGTGCGACAGCGGGGATACTCACCACTATACTACTGAGACACGATTTCTCGTCTGTAAGACACAGAGATGAATTCCTTGCGAAGGATCTCTAACAAATCTTTTTCTTCGTTAACGTACTCTGTAGGTGTAAGCCAAGATGACAACCACACTTTCTTCCGGAGAAAAGACAGTAGGAGAGAAGTTGAATCCTTCGAAGGCAGTGAATTGCAATTCTCCTTTTAAATTACCACGTAAGAATGAAAATGTGGCGAGAAAACTGATATTAATCGCTATCTAAATACATTGGTAACTGTCGAAGTAAAAATCATTCTCCCGGCGGGGAATTCCGAACCCCGTCTCCCCTGCGTGACAGGCGGGGATACTCATAACTATACTACTGAGGACACGATTTCTCGTCTGTAAGACATACACAGAGATCAATTTCTGCGAAGGATCTCTAACAAATCTTTTCTTTCTGTTAACGTACCTGTAGGTGTTTACAAGATGATAACCGCTAATCTTCTTCCTGGAGAAATGACAGAGGAGAGTAGTTGAACTCACAGTGAATTATAATTCTCCCTAAATCAATCTGTCGCAGAATTGAAATGTATGAGAAACCGGATATTAATCGCCATCTAAACACATTTGGTAACTGAAGCTAAAAAAAAAATCATTCTCCCCGGTGGTAAACTTGAACTGGTCTCCCGCGTGACAGGCGGGGATACTCACCACCATACCAATGGAGGACACGATTTCCTCGTCTGTAAGACACAGAGATCAATTCCCTAGGCTGATCTCTAACAAATCTTTTCTTCCGTTAACGTACCTTAGATGGTAAGCTTACAAGATGACAACCACACTTTCTTCCGGTGAAATGACAGTAGGAGAGAAGTTGAATCCTTCCGAAGGCAGTGAATATAAATTTCCTTTAAATTACCATGTAAGAATGAAAATGTGGCGAGAACCGATATTAATCGCTATCTAAATACATTGGTAATACTGTCGAAGTAAAAAAAATCATTCTCCCCGGCGGGGAATCGAACCTGCCCCGCGTGACAGGCGGGATACTCACCACCATACTCAATGAGGACACGATTTCTCGTCTGTAAAGACACAGAGATCAAATTCCTTGCGAAGGATCTCTCAACAAATCTTTCTTCTGTTAACGTACTCAGAAGGTGTGTTTACAAGATGACAACCACACTTTCTTCCGGAGAAATGACAGTAGGAGAGAAGTTAACCGAAGGCAGTGAATTATAATTCTCCCTTTAAATTACCCACGTAAGAAAATGTGGCGAGAACCATATTAATCACATTCAAATACATTGGTAACTGTCGAAGTAAAAAAAAAATCATTCTCCCCGGCAGTGGGAATCGAACCCCGGTCTCCCGCGTGACAGGCGGGGATATCACCACTCATATCACTGAGGAGGCCACGATTTCTTCGTCTGTAAGACACAGAGATCAATTCCTTGCGAAGGATCTCTAACAAATCTTTTCTTCTGTTAACGTACTCTGTGGTGTTTACAAGATGACAACCACACTTCTTCCGCCAAGTGAAATGACAGTAGGAGAGAAGTTGAAATCCTTCGAAGGCAGTGACTTATAATTCTCCTTAAATCACTCCACGTAAGAATGAAAATGTGGCGAGAAACTGATATTAATCGCTATCTAAATACATTGGTAACTGTCGAAGTAAAAAAAAATCATTCTCCCCGGCGGGGAATCGATCCCCGGTCTCCCGCGTGACAGGCGGGGATACTCACCACTATACTACCGAGGACACGATTTCTCGTCTGTAAGACACAGAGATGAATTCCTTGCGAAGGATCTCTAACAAATCTTTTCTTCTGTTAACGTACTCTGTAGGTGTTTAAGGATGACAAACTACACTTTCTTCCGGAGAAATGACAGTAGGAGAGAAGTTGAATCCTTCGAAGGCAGTGAATTATACCTCCTTTAAATTACCCACGTAAGAATTAGAAAATGTGGCGAGAAACTGATATTAACGCTATCTAAATACATTGGGAAATCCGGTCGAAGTAAAAAAAATCATTCTCCCGGCGGGAATCGAACCCGGTCTCCTGCGTGACAGGCGGGATACTCACCCCACTATACTACTGAGACACGATTTCTCGTCTGTAAGACACAGAGAGAATTTCTTGCATGATCTCTAACAAATCTTTTCTTCTCTTAACGTTCTCTGTAGGTGTTTACAAGATGACAACCACACTTTCTTCTGAGAAATGATGTGGAGAGAAGTTGAATCCTTCGAAGGCAGTGAATTATACCTCCTTAAATTACCTTAATGTAAGAATGAAAATGGCGAGAACCGATATTATTCGCTATCTAAATACATTGGTAACTGTCGAAGTAAAAAAAATCATTCTCCCGGCGGGGAATGAACCCCCGTCTCCCCTGCAAGACAGGCGGGGATACTACCACTATACTACCGAGGACACGATTGTCTGTAAGACACAGAGATCACCTTGCGAAGGATCTCTAACAAATCTTTTCTTCTGTTAACGTACTCTGTAGGTGTTTACAAGATGACAAATCCACACTTTCTTCTTCCGGAGAAATGACAGTAGGAGAGAAGAATCCTTCGAAGGCAGTGAATTATAATTCTCCCTTAAATTACCCACGTAAGACGAAAATGTATGAGAAACTGATATTAATCGCCATCTAAATACTGGTAACTGTCGAAGTAAAAAAAAATCATTCTCCCCGGCGGGGAATCGAACCCCCGGTTCCCGCGTGACAGGCGATACTCACCACTATACTACCGAGGACACGATTTCTCGTCTGTAAGACAGAGATCAAATTCGCGAAGGATCTCTAACAAATCTTTTTTTTTTCTGTTAACGTACTCTTGTAGGTGTTTACAAGATGACAACAACACTTTCTTCCGAGAAAATGACAGTAGGAGAGAAGTTGAATCCTTCGAAGGCAGTGAATTATAATTTCTCCTTAAATTACCCACGTAAGAATGAAAATGTGGCGAGAAACTGATATTAATCGCCATCTAAACACATTGGTAACTGTCGAAGTAAAAAAATCACATTCCTCCCCGGCGGGGAATCAACTCGGTCTCCTGCGTGACAGGCGGGGATATACTAACCACTATACTACCGAGGACACGATTTCTCAACTGTAAGACACAGAGATCAATTCCTCATGGCTGATCCTAACAAATCTTTCTTCGTTAACGCACTCTGTAGGTGTTTACAAGATGACAACCACACTTTCTTCCGGAGAAATGACAGTAGGAGAGAAGTTGAACTTTCGAAGGCAGTGAATTATAATTCCTCCTTTAAATTACCCACGTAAGAATGAAAAATGTGGCGAGAAACTGATATTATTCATTCAAATACATTGGTAACTGCTCTAGTTAAAAAAAATCATTCTCCCCTGCGGGGAATCGAACACCGGTCTCCCCGCGTGACAGGGCGGGGATACTCACCACTATACTACCGAGGACACGATTTCTCATCTGTAAGACACAGAGATCAATTTCGCGAAGGATCTCTAACAAATCTTTTCTTCTGTTAACGTACTCTGTAGGTGCTTACAAGATGACAAACTACACTTTCTTCCGGAGAATGCTGCAGAGAGAAGTTGAACTCTTCGAAGGCAGTGTGAATTATATAATTCTCCTTTAAATTACCCACGTAAGAATGAAAATGTGGCGAGAAACTGATATTAATCGCTATCTAAATACATTGCAACTGTCAGTAAAAAAAATCATTCTCCCTTATGGGGAATCGAACCCCCGTCTCCTGCGTGACAGGCGGGGATACTCACCACTATACTACCGAGGACACGATTTCTCGTCTGTAAGACACAGATGAATTTCTTGCGAAGGATCTCTAACAAATCTTTTCTTCTGTTAACGTACTCTTGTATGTGTTTACAAGATGAAAACCACACTTTCTTCCGGAGAAATGACAGTAGGAGAGAAGTTGAATCTTTCGAAGGCAGTGAATTATAATTCTCCCTTTTAAATTACTCCACGTAAGAATGAAAATGTGGCGAGAAACTGATATTAATCGCTATCTAAATACATTGGTAACTGTCGAAGTAAAACCATTCTCCTCGGCGGGGAATCGAACCCCCGGTCTCCCGCAGCGTGACAGGCGGGGATACTCAACACTATACTACCGAGGACACGATTTCTCGTCTGTAAGATTAATAGAGATGAATTCCTGCGTAGCGATCTCTAACAAATCTTTCTTCTGTTAAACGTACTCTGTAGGTGTTTACAAGATGACAACCACACTTTCTTCCGGAGAAAAGAGACAGTAGAGAGAAGTTGAATCCTTCGAAGGCAGTGAATTATAATTCTCCCTTTAAATTACCCACACGTAAGAATGAAAAATGTATGACGAAACTGATATTAATCGCTATCTAAATACATTGGTAACTGTCGAAGTAAAAAAAAAATCATTTCCCGGCGGGGAATCGAACTGGTCTCCCAAGTGTGACAGGCGGGGATACCTACAACTATACTACCGAGACACGATTTCTCGTCTGTAAGACACAGAGATCAATTCCTTGCGAAGGATCTCTACCAAATCTTTCTTCTGTTAACGTACTCTGTAGGCGTTTACAAGATGATAAACCACACTTTCTTCCGGACCGAGAAATGACAGGAGAAGTTGAACTTCGAAGGCAGTGAATTATACCCTCCCTTTAAATTACCCACGTAAGAAACGAAAATGTATGAGAAACTGATATTAATCGCTATCTAAATACATTGCACCGTCGAAGTAAAAAAATCATCTCTGGCAGGGAATCGAAACCCCGGTCTCCCGCGTGATGTAAGGGGATACTCACCAATTATACTACCGAGGACACGATTTCTCGGTTCGTAAGACACAGAGATCAATTCCCTGCGAAGGACTTAACAAATCTTTTCTTCTGTTAACGTACTCTGTAGGTGTTTACAAGATGACAAACTACACTTTCTTCCAAGGTGAAATGACAGTAGGAGAGAGAAGTTGGAATCTTTCGGAAGGCAGTGAATTATAATTCTCCTTTAAATTACCCACGTAAGAGATCGAAAATGTAGCGAGAAACTGATATTAATCGCTATCTAAATACATTGGTAACTGTCGAAGTAAAAAAAAATCATTCTTCTCCCCCCGGCGGGGAATCAGGAACCCCGTCTCCCCGCGTGACAGGCGGGGATACTCACCACTATACTACCGAGAGGACACGATTTCGTCTGTAAGACACAGAGATCAATCTTGCGAAGGATCTCTAACAAATCTTTTCTTCGTTAACGTACTCAGGTGTTTACAAGGATGACAAACTAATTTCTTCCGGAGAAATGACAGTAGAGAGAAGTTGAATCCTTCGGAAGGCAGTGAATTATAATTCTCCCTTAAAATTACCCACGTAAGTACGAAAATGTATGAGAAACTGATATTAACGCTATCTAAATACATTGGTAACTGTCGAAGTAAAAAAAATCATTCTCCCGCAGGAATCGAACCCCGGTCTCCCGCGTGACAGGCGGGGATACTCACCACTATACTACCGAGGACAATGATTGTCTGTAAGACACAGAGATCACCTTTGCGAAGGATCTCTAACAAATCTTTCTTCTGTTAACTCTGTAGGTAAGAAGTTTACAAGATGACAACCACACTTTCTTCCGGTGAAATGACATAGGAGAGGTTGAATCCTTCCGAAGGCAGTGACTTATAATTCTCCTTAAATTACCCACGTAAGAATGAAAATGTGTATGAGAAACTGATATTAATCGCCATTCAAATACATTGGTAACTGCCGCTAAAAAAAATCATTCTCCCCGGCGGGAATCAACCCCGGTCTCCCGCGCTAGGACAGGCGGGGATAATAACCAATTATACTACCGAGGACACGATTTCTCGTCTGTAAGACACAGAGATGAATTCCTTGCGAAGGATCTCTAACAAATCTTTTCTTCTGTTAACGTACTCTGTAGGTGTTTACAAGATGACAACCACACTTTCTTCCGGAGAAATGACAGTAGGAGAGAAGTTGAATCCTTCGAAGGCAGTGAATTATAATTCTCCTTTAAATTACCCACGTAAGAATGAAAATGTGGCGAGAAACTGATATTAATCGCTATCTAAATACATTGGTAACTGTCGAACGAAAAAAAAATCATTCTCCCGGCGGGGAATCGAACCCGGTCTCCCGCGTGACAGGCGGGGATACTCACCACTATACTACCGAGGACACGATTTCTCGTCTGTAAGACACAGAGATGAATTTCTTGCGAAGGATCTCTAACAAATCTTTTCTTCTCTTAACGTACTCTGTAGGTGTTTACAAGACAAACTACACTTTCTTTCTGGAGAAATGACAGTAGGGAGAGAAGTTGAATCCTTCGGAAGGCAGTGAATTATAATTCTCCTTTAAATTACCCACGTAAGAATGAAAATGTGGCGAGAAACTGATATTATTCGCCCAAAATACATTGGTAACTGTCGAAGTAAAAAAACTGGTTCTCCCGGTGGGGAATTTTGAACCTCGAAGTCTCCCTATGACATGGGGATATCACCCACTATACTACTGGGAGGATTGATTTCTCGTCTGTAAGACACAGAGATCAATTCCTTGCGAAGGATCTCTAACAAATCTTTTCTTCTGTTAACGTACTCTGTAGGTGTTTACAAGATGACAACCACACTTTCTTCCGGAGAAATGACAGTAGGAGAGAAGTTGAATCCTTCGAAGGCAGTGAATTATAATTCTCCTTTAAATTACCCACGTAAGAATGAAAATGTGGCGAGAAACTGATATTAATCGCTATCTAAATACATTGGTAACTGTCGAAGTAAAAAAAATCATTCTCCCCGGCGGGGAATCGAACCCCGGTCTCCCGCGTGACAGGCGGGGATACTCACCACTATACTACCGAGGACACGATTTCTCGTCTGTAAGACAATAGCTGTGAGATCAATCTGCGAAGGATCTCTAACAAATCTTTCTTCTGTTAACGTACTCTGTAGGTGTTTACAAGATGACAACCAATAATTTCTTCCGGAGAAATGACAGTAGGAGAGAAGTTGAATCCTTCGAAGGCAGTGAATTATAATTCTCCTTAAATTAATTACCCACGTAAGAATGAAAATGTATGAGAAACTGATATTAATCGCTATCTAAAATACATTGGTAACTGTCGAAGTAAAAAAATCATTCTCCACGGCGGGAATCAACCTTTGGTCTCCGCGTGACAGGCGGGGGGATACTCACCACCATACTACCGAGACACGGATTTCTCGTCTGTAAGACACTAGAGAGATCACCCTCATAAAGGATCTCTAACAAATCTTTTTTTTTCTTATTAACGTACTCTGTAGGTGTTTACAAGATGACAACAACACTCTCTTCCGGAGAAATGACAGTAGGAGGAGAAGCTGAATCTTCGAAGGCAGTGAATTATAATTCTCCTTTAAATTACCCAATGTAAGAATGAAAATGTGGCGAGAAACTGATATTAATCGCCATCTAAATACATTGTAACTGCCGAAGTAAAATCATTCCTTCCGGCGGGGAATAGAACCCTGTCTCCTGCGTGACAGGCGGGGATACTAACCACTATACTACCGAGGACACGATTTCTCGTCTGTAAGACACAGATCAATTCCTTGCGAAGGACCAACAAATCTTTTCTTCTGTTAACGCTCTGTAGGGTGTTTACAAGATGACAACCACACTTTCTTCCGAGAAATGGACAGTAGGAGAGAAGTTGAATCCTTCGAAGGCAGTGAATTATAATTCTCCTTTAAATTACCCACGTAAGAATGAAAATGTGGCGAGAAACTGATATTAATCGCCATTCTAAATACATTGCACTGTCGAAGTAAAAAATCATTCTCCCCTTATGGGGAATCGAACCCCTGGTCTCGCGTGACAGGCGGGGATACTCTTTCCACCACTATACTACCGAGACACGATTTCGTCTGAAGACACAGAGATCAATTCCCTTGCGGAAGGATCTCTAACAAATTTTCTTCTGTTAACGTACTCGTAGGTGCTTTACAAGATGACAACCACACTTCTTCCGGAGAAATGACAGGAGAGAAGCTGAATCCTTTCGAAGCAGTGAATTATAATTCTCCTTTAAATTCACGTAAGAATGAAATGTGGCGAGAAACTGATATTAATCGCCATTCCAAATACATTGGTAACTGCTCATAAAAAAAATCATTCTCCCGACAGGGAATCGAACCTCGGTCTCCCGCGTGACAGGCGGGACATACATCACCACTATACTACTGAGGATCAATGATTTCGTCTGTAAGACACAGCTATGAATTCCTTGCGAAGGATCTCGTCAAATCTTTCTTCCGTTAACGTACCTTGTAGGTGTTTACAAGATGACAACCACACTTTCTTCTGAGAAATGACAGTAGGAGAGAAGTTGAATCCTTCGAAGGCAGTGAATTATAATTCCTCCCTTTTAAATTACCCACGTAAGAATGAAATGTATGAGAAACTGATATTAATCGCTATCTAAATACATTGGTAACTGTCGAAGTAAAAAATCACTCTCCCCGGCGGGAATCGAACCCGGTCTCCGCGTGACAGGCGGGGATACTCATCATTATACTACTGAGGACACGATTTCGTCTGTAAAGACACACAGAGATGAATTCCTTTGCGAAGGATCTCTACCAAATCTTTTCTTCTGTTAACGTACTCTTAAAGGTGTGTTTACAAGATGACAACCACACTTCTTCCGGAGAAAATGACAGTAGGAGAGAAGTTGAATCAAGGCAGTGAATTATAATCTCGCCTTTAAATTTCACGTAAGAATGAAATGTGGCGAGAAACTGATATTAATCGCTATCTAAATATGATGAATTGAACCATAGATATCCATTCTATATTCATTGAGGACACGATTTCTCGTCTGTAAGACACAGCTATGAATTTCGTGAAGGATCTCAACAAATCTTTCTTCTGTTGTACCTGTAGGTGTTTACAAGATGACAACCATTTCTTTCTGGAGAATGACAGTAGGAGAGAAGTTGAATCCTTCGAAGGCAGTGAATTATACCTCTTTAAATTACCCACGTAAGAATGAAAATGTATGAGAAACTGATAATCGCTACTCCAAATACATTGGTAACTGTCGAAGTAAAAAAAATCATTCTCCTCAAGGGAATCGAACCCCGGTCTCCCGCGTGACAGGCGGGGATACTCACTACTATACTACAGAGGACACGATTTCTCGTCTGTAAGACACAGAGATGAATTCAAGAAGGATCTCTAACAAATCTTTCTTCTGTTAACGTAATCTGTAGGTGTTTACAAGATGACAACCACACTTCTCTTCCGGAGAAATGACAGTAGGAGAGAAGTTGAATCCTTCCTGAAGGCAGTGAATTATAATTCTCCTTCTTTAAATTACCCACGTAAGAATGAAAATGTGGCGAGAAACTGATATTAATCAAGGCCCAAATACATTGGGAACCGTCGAAGTAAAAAAATCATTCTCCCCGGCGGGAACAATCGAACCCTGAACTCCCGCGTGACAGGCGGGGATACTCACCACTATACTACCGAGGACACGATTTCTCGTCTAAAGACACAGAGATGAATTTCGCAAATATCTCTACCAAATCTTTTCTTTCTCTTAACGTTCTCTGTAGGTGTTTACAAGATGACAACTACATCTTTCTGAGAAATGACAGTAGGAGAGAATTGAATCCTTCGGAAGGCAGTGAATTATAATTCTCCCTTTAAATTACCCACGTAAGAAATGAAAATGTGAAGAGAAACTGATATTATTCATATCTAAATACATTGGTAACCGTCGAAGTAAAATCATTCTCCCCCCGGCGGGGAATCGAACCCCGGTTCCCGCGTGACAGGCGGGGATACTCACCACTATACTACCGAGACACGATTTCGTCTGTAAGACACAGAGATCAATTCCCTTGCGAAGGATTCTTAACAAATCTTTCTTCTGTTAACGTACTCTGTAGGTGCTTACAAGATGACAACCAATAATTTTCTTCCGGAGAAATGACAGTAGAGAGAAGTTGAATCCTTCGAAGGCAGTGAATTATACCCTCCTTTAAATTACCTCCACGTAAGAATGAAAAATGTGGCGAGAAACTGAGTTATTAATCGCTATCTAAATACATTGGTAACTGTCGAAGTAAAAAATCATTCTCCCGGCGGGGAATTCAACCCCGGTCTCCCGCGTGACAGGCGGGGATACTCACCACTATAATGGAGACACGATTTCTCGTCTGTATGACAAAAGAGATCAATTCCTTTGAAGGATCTCTAACAAATCTTTTCTTCTGTTAACGTACCTGTAGGGTGTTTACAAGATGACAACCACACTTTCTTCCGGGAGAAATGAATCGTAGAGAGAAGTTGAACTTTCCGAAGGCAGTGAATTATACCTCCTTTAAATTACCCACGCGTAAGAATGGTAGAAAATGGCGAGAAACTGATATTAATCGCCATTCAAATACATTGGTAACTGTCGAAGCTAAAAAATCATTCTCCCCGGCGGGGAATCGAACCCCGGTCTCCCGCGTGACAGGCGGGATACTCAACAATATACTACCGAGGACATGATTTCTCGTCTGTAAGACAATAGAGATCAATTCCTTGCGAAGGATCTCTAACAAATCTTTTTTTTTCTGTTAACGTACCTTGTAGGTGTTTACAAGATGACAACAACACTTTCTTCCGAGAAATGACAGTAGGAGAGAAGTTGAATCCTTCGAAGGCAGTGAATTATAATTCTCCTTTAAATTACCCACGTAAGAATGAAAAATGTATGAGAAACTGGCTATTAATGCTATCTAAATACATTGGTAACTGTCGAAGTAAAAAAAAATCATTCTCCCCGGCGGGGAATCGAACCCCGTCACCCGTGACAGGTGGGGATACTCTACCCCACTATAATACCGAGGACACGATTTCCTCGTCTGTAAGACACAGAGGATGAATTCTTTGCGAAGGATCTCTAACAAATCTTTTCTTTCTAACGTACTCTGTAGGTGTTTATAAGATGACAACCACATCTTCTTCCGAGAAAATGACAGTAGGAGAGAAGTCTAACCTTCCGACAGGCAGTGAATTATAATTCTCCTTTAAATTACCCACGTAAGAAAAGAAAAATGTGGCGAGAAACTGATATTAATCGCTATCTAAATATTACTGGTAACTGGTCGAAGCAAAAATCATTCTCCCGGCGGTGGGGAATCGAACCCCGGTCTCCGTGACAGGCGGGGATACTCACCACTATACTACCGGAGGACACGATTTCTGTCTGTAAGACACAGAGATCAATTCCTAGCGATCTCTAACAAAATCTTTTCTTCTGTTAACGTACCTTGTGGTGTTTACAAGATGACAACCACACTCCCTTCTTCCGGAGAAATGACAGTAGGAGAGAAGTTGAATCCTTCGAAGGCAGGAATTATACCCTCCTTAAATTACCCACGTAAGAAATGAAAATGGCGAGAAACTGATATTAATCGCCATTCAAATATACTGGTAACTGTCGAAGTAAAAAAATCATTCTCCCCGGCGGGGAATCGAACCCCGGTCTCCCGCGTGACAGGCGGGGATACCACCACCATATACTAATGAGGACACGATTTCTCGCCCGTAAGACACAGATGAATTTCTTGCGAAGGACTCAACAAATCCTTTCTTTCCGTTAACGCACTCTGTAGGTGTTTACAAGATGACAACCACACTTTCTTCTGGAGAAATGACAGTAGAGAGAAGTTGAATCCGAAGGCAGTGAATTATAAATCTCCTTTAAAATTACCCACGTAAGAATGAAATGTGGCGAGAAAACTGATATTAATCGCTATCTAAATACATTGGTAACTTCGTCGAAGTAAAAAATCTTTCTCCCCGGCGTAAATCATCCCCGGTCTCCGCGTGACAGGCGGGGATACTCTACCACTACTACCGAGGACACGATTTCGTCCTCAGATGACACAGAGATGAATTCCTTCGAAAGGGATCTCTAACAAATCTTTTCTCTGTTAACGTACTCTGTAGGGTGTTTACAAGATGACAACCAGAATTTCTTCCGGAGGAAATGACAGTAGGAGAGAAGTTGAATCCTTCGGAAGGCAGTGAATTATGTAATTCTCCCTTTAAATACCTAATGTAAGAAGAAAAATGTATGAGAAACTGATATTACACCCCGCTATCTAAATACATTGGTAACTGTCGTAGTAAAAATCATTCTCCCCTGGCGGGAATCGAACCCGGTCTCCCCGCGTGACAGGCGGGGATACTCACCACCATACCAATGAGTATTGTCGATTTCTCGTCTGTAAGACACAGAGATCACCCCTTGCGAAGGATCTCAACAAATCTTTCTTCTGTTAACGTACCGTGGTGTTTACAAGATGACAACTACACTTTCTTCCGAGAATGACAGTAGGACAGTTGAACTTTCTTCCGAAGGCAGAATTTATAATTCTCCCTTTAAATTACCACTAAGAATGAAAATGGCGAGAAACTGATATTAATCGCCATTCAAATACATTGGTAACCGTCGAAGTAAAAAAAATCATTCTCCCCGGCGGGGAATCGAACCCCGGTCTCCTGCGTGACAGGCGGGGATACTCACCACTATACTACCGAGGACACGATTTCTCGTCTGTAAGAGCCATTGCAGAGATCACCCTTGCGAAGATCTCTCAACAAATCTTTTCTTCTGTTAACGTACTCTGTAGGTGTTTATGGCAAGATGACAACCACACTTTCTTCCGGAGAAATGACAGTAGGAGAGAAGTTGAATCCTTCGGAAGGCAGTGAAATTATAATTTTAAATTGTTCACGTAAGAATGAAAATGTGGCGAGAAACTGATATTAATCGCTATCTAAATATTTGTACCGTCGAAGTAAAAAATCATTCTCCCGGCGGGTAATCGAACCCCGGTCGCCCGCGTGACAGGCGGGATAATTTTCACCACTATACTACCGAGGACACGATTTCGTCTGTAAGACACAGAGATCACCTTGCGTAGCGATCTCTAAATCTTTCTTCTATTAACGTACTCTGTGGTGGGTGTTTACAAGATGACAACCACACTTTCTTCCGGAGAAATGACAGTAGGAGAGAAGTTGAACTCTTCGAAGGCAGTGAATTATACCCTCCTTAAATACCCACGTAAGAAATTTAAAATGTGGCGAAAGTGGTATTATCTGCCATCTAAATACACTGGTAACTGTCAGGGGCGCAAAAAAAATCATTCTCCCCGGCGGGGAATGAACTCCCGGTCGCCCAAGTGCATGCGGGATACTCACCACTATACCTTCCAATGAGGATTAATGATTTCTCAAGTCTGTAAGACAGAGATCACCTTTGCGAAGGATCTCTAACAAATCTTTCTTCTGTTAACGTACCTGTAGGTGTTTATAAGATACAACCACACTTTCTTCCGAGAAATGACAGTAGGAGAGAAGTTGAATCTTCGAAGGCAGTGAATTATAATTCTCCTTGTACTACCCATGCAAGAATGAAATGTGGGCGAGAAACTGATATTACCGCCATTCAAATACATTGGTACTGTCGAAGTAAAAAAATCATTCTCCTCATGGGGAATCGAACCGGTCTCCCGCGTGACAGGCGGGACACTCACCACTATACTACCGAGGACACTTGATTTCGTCTGTAAGCATTTACAGAGATCACCTTTGCGAAGGATCTCAACAAATCTTTCTTCTGTTAACGTACTCTGTAGGCGTTTAGCGTGATGACAAAACCACACTTTCTTCCTGTCCAAAATGACGAGAGAAGGAACCTTCTGAAGGCAACGGAATTATATACCCCTCCCTTTAAACTACCCACGTAAGAACGAAAATGTATGAGAAACCATTAATCGCTATCCAAATACATTGTAACTGTCGAAGTAAAAATCCTCACCTTATGGGAATCGAACCCCATTCCCGCGTGACAGGCGGGGATACCTCACCACTATACCACTGAGGACACGATTTCGTCTTGTAAGACACAGATGAATTTTATGAAGGATCCTCAAATGTCTTTCTCTGTTTAACGACCTGTGGTTTGCCAAGATGACAAACCGGTTGCACTCTTCCTGGAGAAATGACAGTAGGAGAGTATAGTTGAACCTTCGGAAGGTTAAAGAATTACACCCTTTAAATCTCACCCATGTAAGAATTGAAATGTGGCGAAAGAAACCGATATTAATCGCCATTCAAATACATTGGAATCATCGAAGTAAAAAAAATCATTCCTCCCCGGCGGGGAATCGAACCTCGGTTCCGCGTGACAGGCGGGATACTCACCCACTATACTACCAGGACACGATTTCTCGTCTGTAAGATACAGAGGATGAAACGCCTTGCGAAGGATCTTCTAACAAATCTTTTCTGCTTAACGGCCTGTAGGTGCTTGCAAGATGACAAACTACACCTTCTTCCGGAGAAATGACAGTAGGAGATATAGTTGGAATCCTTCGAAGGTGCAGTGAACAGAGAATTCTCCCTTTAAATTCACGTAAGAATGAAAATGTGCGAGGAAAGTGATATTAATTCTGCTATCTAAATACATTGGTAACTGTCGAAGTAAAATCATTCTCCCTGGCGGGGAATTTGAACCCCGGTCTCCTGCGGACAGGCGGGGATATCACCACTATAATACTACTGAGGACACGATTTCTCGTCTGTAAGACACAGAGATCAATTCCATGCGAAGATCTCAACAAATCTTTTCTTCATTAACGTACCTGTAGGTGTTTCATAAAGATGATGTCTCACACTTTCTCTTCCAAATGAAATGACAGTAGGAGAAGCTGAATCCTTCGAAGGCAGTGAATTATGGGTTCTCCCTTTAAATTACCCACGTAAGAATGAAATGTGGCGAGAAACCGATATTAATCGCTATTCCAAATACATTGGTAACTGGCTCAGCTAAAAAAAATCCATCCTTGGCGGGGAACCTTGAACCTTGGTCTCCGCGCAGACAGTGGGGAAGGCCTCACCCACTATACAATGAGGACACGATTTCCTCGTCTGTAAGACAGATCACCCCTGCTAGCGATCTCAAATACCTTTCTCTGTTAACGTACCTTGTAGGTGTTTACAAGATGACAACCACACTTTCTTCCGAGAAACATTACAGGATATAGTTGAACTCTTCGGAAGGCAGTAAATTATAATTCCTCCTTAAATTACCCACGTAAGAATGAAAATGTATGAGAAACCGATATTAATCGCTATCTAAATACATGGTAACTGTCGAAGTAAAAAAATCTATTCTCCCCGGCGGGGAATCGAAACCCTGTCCCGCGCGTGACAGGCGGGGACATCACCACTATACCAATAAATAGAGGACAATAGATTTCTCGTCTGTAAGACACAGATCAATTCCCTGTGAAGGATCTCAACAAATTTTTCTTCTGTTAAAGTACTCTGTAGGTGTTTAGCAAGGAGACAAACTACACTTTCTTCCTGGAGAAATGATGCAGGGAGAGGTGCAGAAGTTGAATCCTTCAAGGCAGTGAATTATACCCTCCTTAAATTACCCACGTTAAAATGAAAATGTGGCGGAGAAACTGATATTAATCGCTATCTAAATACATTGCACCGTTTCATAAAAAATCATTCTCAACGGCGGGGAATCGAACCTTCGGTCTCCTCGCGTGAGTTGCAAGTGGGGATACTCACCACTATAATACTGAGGACACGCATTTCTCGTCTCTGCAAGACAGAGATGAATTTCGCGAAGGATCTCAAATGTAAATCTTTTCTTCTGTTAACGTACTCTGTATGTTTTACAAGATGAAATAAATCTGCAATTTCTTCTGGAGAAAATGACAGTAGGAGAGAGTTGAACTTTCGAAGGCAGAATTATAATTCTCCTTTAAATTACCAATGCAGAATGAAAATGGCGAGAAACTTGATATTAGTTATCTAAATACATTGCAACGTCGCTAAAAAAAAATCATTCTCCCGGCGGGGAATCGGACCCCTGTCTCCCTGCGTGACAGACGGGGATACTCACCACTATACTGAGGACACGATTTCTCGTCTGTAAGACACAGATGAATTCCTTTTGCGAAGGATCTCTAACAAATCTTTTTCTTCTTGTTAACGTGTACTCTGTGGTGCTTACAAGATGACAACCACTTTCTTCCGAGAAATGACAGGAGAGATGTTGAATCATCTGAAGGCAGTGAATTATAATTCCTTCTTTAAATTACCTACGTAAGAATGAAAAAATGTGCGAGAAAACTGATATTAATCGCTAATCTAAATTACTGGTAACTGTCGAAGTAAAAAATCTATTCTCCCTGGCGGGGAATCGAACCCCGGTCTCCCGCGTGACAGGCAGGCGGGGATACTCACCACTATACTACCGAGGACACGATTTCGTCCGTAAGACACAGAGATGAATTCCTGCGAAGCGATCTCAACAAATCTTTTCTTCTAATGTTACGTACTCTGCAGGTGTTTACAGATGACAACCACACTTTCTTTCCGGAGAAATGACAGTAGGAGAGAAGAAATCCTTTCTGAAGGCAGTGAATTATCACCCTCGCCGATCCTGCCCACCACCCAAAGGGTCTAGGGCCGTGCTGAATCGGCGGGGAGATAGGGGCCCCCAAGCACGCTGAAGGAATAGCGTGCCCCGGCCCTGCCGGCAGGATTTATTGTGTCAATTAACTTATTACAGCTACGTTCTGTAAATAGGGCAGTACTTTAAAACAATATAATTTGACATATAAAAAAAAATATATTTGAAATTACAAACTACGCCAAAGGGCGGAAAAAATAAAACAAGTCTTAGTAAAAATGCAACGCCGCCAATAATCTGTACCCCGCAACATGGGCAGGAATTAAAATATAGGCTTAAATTGAAATAGTGTACAAACTGTTCCCAGAGGGCAAAATTTAATACAGTAGAAGTGAAGTATAAAATATATAACAATTTACAAAATTGTTACCTACTGGCCATGACAGAGCACCAGTTGATGGCAAAGTCTGGTTGATGTGGACTAAAAAAGGATTTTAAATATATGATTTGAAAGATTAATATGATGAGTAAAACTGTACAAAATGAGATGTGAAAAGTTTATGAAATAACGAAGGAAAAGCAAATAAAACAATTTAAAACATGACTGAAGAGGAAAGGCCTAGCCTATTTCAGGATGGTAAAAGTGCCCATTTTTTCTATCTATACATCTACACTCACAAACAACATTATTACACACATTAATACAACCTGGTTCCGGTGTGTGAGCCTGAGGAGACGTGTATTTTTTTGAAAATATTTCTGTCCCGTGTTCTGATAAAATGGATGAAATATATGAAGTCCCGTTTCCAGGTGAAGTAAAATTTTCCCGGATTCCAGTAATCCTGTGTTCTAATAAAATATAAGAGTCATTGAATTTAAAATTATTATATTAAAAGCCCCACACCAAGACAATCTGGTGTTTTGTATGTGGTGAATGTGTAAAATGACAAATCTGCATCAAGTGTAAAAAATTTATTTTATTTCGAATATTGAGACCATGCTCCAAGAGCAATATGTAGATGTTACAAAGAGAACCCAATAAGTGGGCACCAGACTGCCAAGACTCCGCCAGACCAGTGAACCTGAAATATATATTAAAAATTCATAAAAATAATGACAAACAAGACACATCACGCACACACACGCACACAAACACACACACAACAAACACAAATAAAGTCGTTGCTAAAAGCCAGATTATAGTCTAAATACTAAAATGAATATCAAAGACTAAAAAAACAATGCATGAAGGAAACCAAGGAAAATGTCCCAAGGCGAGATAAAATCCAAAATTGCTGCTGTGAGACACAAGCAGAATAAAAGAAGTGTTAAAGCATTAAAATCGCCTCAATACCCACTTCTGAGGGGGTCCTCTACATCCTATAAACCGGAGATCCCCGGTGAAGATCGCGAATTAAAAAGCGCGGTCAGAAATGACTTACATCTCTTACTATACGAGGACTGACCATAAATGTGTTCAGATAAGAGAGCGGTGCCAAAAGTTAAAAAAAAATATTAAAAATACAATTTTATAAAAACCAAAGTTCAATAGTAAATATCTAAAAATCTATACAAATAGTCAAAAAATTAAAATATCAAACATAGCTATAAATGGTCAGATCCAAAGACACCACAATATACCTATAAAATACTAGGACCAATGAGCTAGTAAGGTGAAATAATGATAAGATGGGGACACGGAGCGGCCTTTCACGCCTTTGGTGGGTCCTACCAGGAGTGGTTGATCGCAATTTCGCCCACTCCATCGTAAAGTCCCCATCAAAATATGAGATTAATGAAGTATAAACATACTAACCAAAAAAAACAAGTAACATACAAAAGTTAACATGAAATGACACAAACTTGTCCAGCTGGTCAGAAAGCAATAAAAGCACGAAGAAAAAAAATATAAAAAAACTTTTAAAACTAGGAGTCCCAGAACGGGATGGCCAAAGGAATCAAACTTCTTTACTGGATCCTGGAATGAATTTGCAAGTTTTCCGATAGCCTGATTATTATTCACAAATTTGAAAACCACGCTTTTCGATGAGTGTCTGCGGGTTTGTTAGCTGAAACCTTTGCGAGCGAGCAATCGAATGTGTATAATGCATCGTCAC